CGAATTGAGATTTTGTCATCTTTGAATCGATGTCAGCCAAGTGCAGATCAGTGTTCAGTAGCAGAATAGAATAGCAAATGGTATGGACAACATCAGTAGCTTTGAAGCCATGACTCGGGTTGCAATCACACCATCTAGTCGAAAAGGCATCCAGCACTCGATCCACTTGTTGAGTTTCTCCCTTGAGCACCAGACGATCACAAAGAGCCCGAAGAGAGGCAACAATGTTGAGATTGGACCAGTTGTACAGTCGCATGTATGCTTCGCGAACCATTGCCCGATCAGGGTCACCCAGCCAAGCGGCAGCAGGCTCGTTGCCCACCACCTGATCCTGGCTGTCAAAGAGCCTTTGAGCTTGTTCTCGGTCCACAGCTGTTGGTCCATCTTCAACAGCTTCGCCAGGTCCATCTGTCTGATCCTCGCTGCCATCGACCGGTTGAAGCTCTTCCTGTTCAATGAGTGGGGTGTTCGTGGCGGTCTGATAGTTCGATGCAGTTGATATGGAATCAACAGGAGATTCGCAAACCACGTCATCAGATGGAAGCGCCAATCTAGCTACATTGATTTGAGGAACTTCGACCTGCGATTTTATGCTGCGCGAAAAGTCTTCCACAACGGGGGACAGAGTAGTAGAGGCAGCAACATTTTGAGACTTCTCCTGTAAAGCAACGTCTGTGGAAACGTCACCATTCGAAGATCGATCCTTCTCTGCAAGGGGCGAGAGGTCCTGACCATGAGGAGCAGCAGAGGGCTGAAGAGAAATTTTCGTTTTGGGAGCCCCAGGAGCTGAAACACTTTCCCTTTTCTTCTGCGCCTGCAAAAACGCCGGTTGCCGAATCTTGGCCTCCCAGTCCGCATTTTCTTTCCGGTCTAATTCCTCGTCGAGGTAAGGGTTCATGACCTGCCGCAGGCTGCTCACAGGACTTGGAGCCGTCGTGGTATCCACGGTCTGTGGTGCAAGATGTTGAGGAATTACAATTGGCGGAGGAGCATGGTCAGGCACCGACCTTTTCCTTCTACGGAAGAATGAAGGTTTCTTGTTCACGACATGATGGGGTCCTGTGCGAACGGAGGACGGAGAAGCACCTGCAGAGCTCTTGGTTGCCTGTCCAGGTCGTCCCTTTAGGCTGGCAGTCGTCCCATTGGTTTCTCTACTCTCCGTTTCTTGGAGGTGTGATAGATCATTGGCGTTTATACTTGCTGTATCTGCCGGTCCAGGGGCTGGAGTTTTAGATCCAAAGACACGCCGGAAGAAACCTGGGCGTTCTTTTGTGCTTGGAGCAGGATGGTTGATGGGGGCATTGATCGGGGTTGTGGTAGTTGCCGTCGGCTCTGGGGGAGGAAAAGCTGGCTTGTTATAGGAGATGGTCGGGCTAGGAGCAGGAGGATCCAACGATGTCGTGATGGCCGGAGGGGGCTCAAGCTCTGTCTCATCCATATTGTGGAAGTCGTTGTCCCGAGCTCGGATGGTCCCCGTGCCGATGTTTTCGGGCCGAACCTTCCGAACCTGAGGGGCATGAGCAGATTTCATACTGTTCCGTCGCGATGCTACCGGTGTCCGCGCGGCAGCAGCTGTTGGTGTTCTATTATAATCGTGGGCCTTTCGCGGCCCTGCGGGCACACTCGGGGTGGGTGCAGCATCGTGGTCGTCATACAGCGTCGAGTCCTGGCCGACACTGGAATCAGCATAAGGAACGAACGCTCGTTTTGGTCCACAATCGAAGCTGGCTGAGCGTCGATCCAAGCCTTGGTCCATTCGTGCTCTGGGAATTGTGTATGCGTAGTCCGCAGTAGAGGATGAGCTTCCTTTACTGCCTATTCGGGCAGTGTTTGTTCGTGGCATGGTTCCAGTACCACCGCGCGAGCTTCCCACCTGCCTCGGTGTCGTCTGGTGATTAGAACTGCTGTTGCTGCGCCGGCCCTTGGTCGCCGTGATTGTTGCGTAGCGGCCACTCCCATCTTCGTATCCGTAGTCTGGTTCCGAGGACATTGACGAGGAGAATGTGTGTCCGCGGTACCGGCCGTGCGAATCAGATTCTTGCGAGTAATGACTGTGATGGTCGGTTTCAAAGGCGGAATTGAAAAGACGGTAGTCGTCTAGAACAGACGAGCTAGGGGCGAATTGATCGAGCGAAAGAAGCATGTTGTCGACAATTGACGTCCGTGTAGCATGTTGCGGGGATAGAGACAGATCATGCGGGTCTCGATCATCTCCCGACTCACTGGTGCTCGGGGGTTTGTCCATGGCGTCTGGGAAGGCATCACGGATGGATGGTCGAGCTGGGTATCCACGCTTGGAGGGATTGTATCTCGCGGTTTGGGACGGAGGTGTACGAGGAGGAGAGTACGCTTCCCGTTGGGACATTATCGCGCTAATAGAAGTTAATGATTGTCTTCTAAACCTATCCACGCGAGGGGAAGGGCAGGATCACAATAAATCCAAGGGAATTGAATCCAGTGCTAGGTCTTCAACGTACCAGATATCAGGGTCTCTAGATAACTAATCAACCAGTATCCGATTTGACGGATTGAATGGTAATTAATTCACTTGGTCATTGTTCCGCCAAGCAAGGGATGTAAAAAAAATTAGAACTAAAATAAAATAAAAAAAAGAATGTAAAACGTTGGCGACAGGGCCGAGTAATGCAGAGAGAGAGACCTTGGAAGATACTGGGAACTCCTGAGGGAGGTTTGGACGGGAACTTTTAAACTCCGGTGAACTGTGGGACTTTAACATGGGACTAACATATATATAATTAATATATTAATATATGTTAAGGGAAATGAAACTGAATAGAAACAGGGGAAATTACTTTTAAGGATCTGCCCAACTTTGCCAGCGCATATTCAGGGGTTTCATATTGAGTGTGCTTATTACTTACTTTCTTATATATACCATGGAATGTGTATAGATTATGCATTATATTATATATATATATATCAATGTATCAATGTATCAATATTTTCCTTATAATCTGTTTAATACAATATTACAATATACAACATGCAATACACCAAAAGTACACAAGTGGAGCCATGGGGAGAGCTATATCGGATGACTTCCGTGGTGAATAGAGAAGTAGATTCTATACCCCGTCAGCATTCATATATGTATCAGTAGTTAAATGCATAATATACTTGTAAGACTTATAATAACTCCCTCTTTAGCTAAGTTGTATCCATGGAGGTTGACTATGTATGTACTTTAGCCCCTTACAGAGTGGATTATCTGGAGAGGAAACATTGTCCAAGAATGACACTCTGGAAGAAGTAATTTATATATACGGAGTATATATAGATCTATCTGGCCTTTGAATTCAAGCAGACCAGAGGTAGATTGTACATATTTCTTGGAAAATCAATACATGCTAATATAATAAATCGTAAATGACATTGTGATATACCCAACACGTGACCAAGATGACATAACCCTCATCTTCCAAGCATTGGATACACGTACAACTGGACCGCATTGTGTATGCTCCGAGACTGATATCCCCTCTCGAAAACGGGGTCTAAGATCATGAACCCTCACATTTCTGTCCCCCGCCAACATGCCGGCTCGGCCAACTTCGGCTCAACGCCCGCAACCCGGTCTAGCGTCCGCATGCCACGCTTCTTCAAGAGGTAGGACCAAAGAACCTCGACGCGAAATACCATCACTAATATGGGACAGGCTCTTTAAATTTCCACAAATGGACTTTGAGATGGCCATTTGGGAAATGACCTCGTTATTGATCGCACCCAAGAAAGTCTTCAAATCGATATACTACCATGTAAGTGAGCTTGACTACCCTCGGCCCTCGAACTATGCTGACCATGCCCTCGGATCTAGAAACGTAAGTCTACTTATTCCAAGCTCGGTAAATGTCTCGATTGAGCAGGCACATACAACCCTGGCAATGCCAGTTCCCATAACCTTAGCCGAGCACTATTGACATCTTTGAACAGAAACTAAAAACACATGGCACCGGCCTGATCCATCATTCACCTACCTACTATCATTCTTCCTCCTCCTCACAGCCTTCGCCTGGGGCCTCGCTTATACGCCGGGCTTCGGCGCAATCATACGCCTTACCTTCCTCTTCGTGTTCGTGCATTTCATCGGCTCGTCACTGCTCGTCTCGACAATTGGATACTTTATCATTGGCCGTCTATTCGGTCCGAACGGAGCTGCTGCATCTCTGGCTGGCCTGCGGGGATCCCGTGGCCGAAGACGAGGAGCTGCTCAAGGCTTGTTCACGCAGCCAGGGGAGAAGGAACAATTGGAGTTTGGATATTGTTTTGATGTAAGACCCCCACATATAGTGTGGAATTTCCGATCTTCTGACACTGGCCTTGTATAGGTGTCCAATCGGGCCTTCTTTCCTCTTTATCTCCACCTCTACGTGGTGCAGTTCCTTCTTCTGCCGCTCCTCACTCGTAGCCCGAGCAATTTCCTGGCTACTTTCCTTGGAAACTCACTCTACCTTTCTGCTCTCATTTACTACACCTACATCACATTCCTGGGGTACAATGCTCTCCCCTTCTTGCACAACACGGAACTCTTGCTTGTTCCTATCCTCATATTCGCCATTATGTGGCTGGTCAGCCTGATTGCCGGTTGGGGCATTGTCATGCAAGGCCGCAGCGTCGAGGGTTTGTTCTGGGGCGTGTGAAGTAGTAAACTTCCCACCAATAAAGCTCTTTTCTTGGCTATGACTTTTTATTGGGATTTCAATCCCATGTATGAAACTTGAGATATCTTTTTTTTCCTTTCTGACTGGCTCATGCATCCTCGGAAAAGCCAGTCTAAAAAATGAGGTTTTTATCTAATTCTATGAGGGCGTCGGTGTACATGATTTCAATTTCCATTGGGCATATTCTCTACTGCCTGATTGATTCCAATGTGAGGAGTATCTCAACTGTGTGTTTTTCCTTTTTTTCTTTTTTTTTTGTTGTCTAGATGTGTAAATAACAATTCAACCCAAGTCATGACCACATATAAAACGAAATTCAGCTTATTTTTTCTTGCCACCAACTTTCTTAGAAGTCTTTCCCGAAGCTGCAGCGCGCATTCGATCCTCTCGCTCCTGGGCCGCATCAGCACGCTCCTTGGCTTGCTCATCCTTCTCCTCCTTCTCGGCCAACTTGCGCTGGCGCTCCGCCTCACGCTGCTCGCGGATCACGGCGAGACGAGCCAGATCCGACTTCGCCTCATCGGTCTTGCCCTCGGCATGCAGCTTTTGGTAACGCTCACGGGCTTGTTGGGCCTGGACGGCCTCACGCTCGCGTCGGGACAACTGCGAGATATCCTTGACCTTGGCGGGCTTCTTGGGTTCAGCAGTGGGTTCGGTTTCAACGGGCTTCAGGGTCTGCGAACGGGACTTGGCAGTGTGGTTGGGGTTGGCGGGGAGCTCGTTGTCGGATTCTTCCGAGTCTGAAGGGGGTAAATCACCCGGTTGGGCGGGTCCTTGGCCTCGCTTCTTCAATGCGGCTGCCTTCTTGGCTTTAGCAGCGGCGCGACGCTCCTCGCGGGTTCCTTCAGCTGTAGATGACTCGATGGGTTTGGACTCGTCCTCGCTGGATTCCTCGGAGCTTTCTTCTTCGGACGAAGAATCTTCGTCGCCGGATGACTTGATTTGCTCACCAGGCTCCTATGTGAGAGATCTCATCAGCATGATGTGTAAATTGAGGTTGAAGTCCACTTACCCTCCAAAGACCCATTTGGTTACCATCCTTGTCTAATGGCTGAAGATCTCTGCTGAAGTGCTTGCCTCCTATTTGATATGATCAGCTTCAAGTTGTCTCATCTGCAGCACACAACTTACCTCCTCGAGAGGGCTTAGAGAACTTTCCTCCACGACCACGGGGCGCCATATTGATATGAAATATTGAGAACCTTGAAAGGGTCTATCTAATCGGAGAGGGTTAGCGGGTTTTGAGGGGGGTTTCGCACAATGGAGGGGCAAAGGCGGATCACATTTCCTCCATATTAGAATCTAAGAAAATTCAACTTACCTGTATAGAAATATAAAATGAAAGAAATTGAACTCTTTCAAAGATGGTTAGAAGAGTGGAAAGGAAAGTGACCGCGAGTCACCGCGCTCGCATTAATCATATTGTGGGGACCCTTTTTTTTATCTCGTCAAACCACTTTTCATACGGTCTATATATACATTGGGGGATCATTATTATATCTTAACACAATATATATTTATCCTTTTAAACACGAGTTAAACCAGTGCCTACCTTGGTCACTCGGGCCCCAATCAATGTCAATCCGCCAACAAAGATTGCAGATCCCATGAACATTTGGGCATACAGGTAGTTGCCATCATCACGAACAACTAGCTCACCAGCAATAGGAGACCCTATAAGGGCCGCCACTGCCACCACGCTGAGTACCATGCCCATACGTACACCAATCTTCTTCATATCAGTAGTGAGGGTACTGAGGGTTGCTGGGAACAATGATTGAATACCCGCAGCAAAGAGGCCATAACATGCGGCAAATGTCCACAACCCGGACATACCGTTGACGGCCGCCCAACAGTAGCCAACCAAGGCTGTCGCGAAACTGAACGGGATCAATAGGTTGAGAGGACCGGTGAATTGATCAGCAAGCAGATTGGGGACCAATCGCCCCACCAATCCGACTCCATTCATGACCAGGAGTAAATCAATGGATCGATCGCTTGACACGCCGATGATGTTACGACTGAAACTGCCAATGTAGAAAAATCCAACATACAGGCCCCAGAAGTTCATGAACATGCCAATCGCAAACAGCAAATAAGGTAGCTCGGTGAAGGCAGCCCACTCGACAATTGGACCACTCTTGCGCGGAGGAAGACGCTGTTTGAGGAACAGGACACAGGGAGTCAGCGTGGCTATCGAGATAAAGCCCAGCGTCCGGATTGTCCACCCATATCCGACCTGGGGCAGCATCTTCATGATAACAGCCGGGAAGACCAGACCCCCCGTTGCAGAACCCGAGGCAACGATCCCAATAGCGATGCCACGGTTCTTGGCGAAATACGTCGAGACCAAAGCCAAGGTTGGGCAGAACATGAGTCCACACCCAATTCCTTGGCCAACCCCCTGTGCCAGGAATAGCTGCCAGTACTTTGTGCAGAGCGAGGTCATGAAGATACTAAAGCATTCCAGGATAGCACCGCAGGCCAGGGTAAATGTGAAATAGCCAGCATCGGTGGCTCTGCCAGAGAAAGTGCCGATGAAAAACAACAAAAAGATCTGGATACTTCCAACCCAAGAGATATCGGAAGGTGAATGTCCTAGTGTCTGGGAATAGTATGTCTGGAAGACACCGAAGCTATTGATATAACCCCATGTGTTGAAGATGACAAAGTGTGCGAGGGCAACCTGCGACCAAGCCTGAAATCCGCCATCCGGGGGCGGGCCGAGATCTTTGCCAGATTCCCGAGTGCGCACTACCGATAGTGTACGTTCCAAGACACTGGTATTGGTAGGCAGGCGAGAAAGGTCGGGTTCATAGCCAATTGATTCTTCATCTGAGTAAATATGGCTTTGATCTATCTCGTCCTTTTTGACTTGACCATGTCCAGTTGAGGGGTTGGAGAGATTCATATTAGTTGATATGATATTTGTAAACTCGAAACTATCAAATCCTTTTCAAAAAAAAGTTGGAATTTTATTTTATAACGGGGATCCTTCCGATCATCTCTCGCCTATTCGCAGAGATGACCGCGCCCTTCCGATGGCATATGGGTCCACTTCCGATATATTTTTATATGTTAAATCTGTATACGGCGTATATATATTTAAATGTATATATGTCTTATAGTTTGTATAGTTTGTTATATCATGTCCATCGGTGTCTGATTCTGTGAATAATCTTGTTGTACACTTTATGTAGGTAAGTTTAATGGATATACAGGGTCTAGGGTATAGGGCTGTATTTTCAGCTTCTCGTCTCTCTTAGCCTTTTCTCTCTAGGTTGAATAGCATCTAATATCTACATGTATACAGGATATATATACATATATCATATACCCCACACCATTTAATATGGCGCAATCCTGGGGTCCCCGCAAAACCCGGGTGTCTCGGATAGTACAGTTACATATGTATACTATGTAGTATACTATGTACACTTTCAAGAAATTCGATATCTTCTAACATGTACATACATTTGAGTCTATACAAAAACTTGGAGGTACCTCTGTAGGTACAGAACCCCCTAAAACAATCGAGGTAATGCTTGTATAGTCCTTAATATGAGACTAATGGCTAGCAATAGAACCATCTTCTCACATAAGTTTCGGCATGCCGAATCTGAAATGCCAAGACTAGATTCCCGGAGCATTGGCGTATATTGGTGGGTAATCATTTGGTTTAGGCCTTCACATCTCAGTGATCTTGGTTGGCACTAAAAAGCATTTGAATTGATCCAATGACATCGGCCGGTTCCAATAAGTGCCAACTGGCATCGGTCTGCTTTGAGCTGGCACCCACCGTAACTGAGTAAACGTGGTCGCGTGGTAGATCAAACTTCTTGAGGGCTCGGAACATATCTAATTGCATGTTAATCCACTGTTTCAGCAACAAGGTGAGAACTGTTACCTTCATCGGTGAAGTCATCACCCAAACATAGGATGAACTCCGGTGCCTTCCCTGGGGCCGTGCCATATTCGTTGACCAATCGGGTGGCGATAAACCCTTTGTTCACAAATGTTGGTCGGACCTCGAGATTGGCTTTACCTGCCATGACTTCCACATCCCACCGCTTGGCAACAGTGTCCTCCAAAGCCTTTCGGCACTCACGCGCCTGGAATGCACCGTACTCGGGGTCTGCGCGACGATAGTGCCAGGTCAATGCTACCCGTTTCCGTTCAATGAATGAACCCTGCGTTCGCTCGGTGTAATGTTGGAAAACATCAACCACTTCCTTCTGCCATCCCATGTTGCTACTCTCGGCCAAATTCTCCCAATCTTCAGATCCGGGCTTTCGGATAAAACAACCGTGCTCGGCACTCAGTCCGAGTTCTGGGATATGGCCCATCCACTCGTCCAGGAAAGCCTGGTCCCGTCCACTGATGATCCAAACGGCATTTCGTGGGTCGGCGGACAGGCTCTTGAGAGTACGGAGTACCCGATCTGAAGGAATGGCCGCCTGCGGATCCTTGACAATTGGAGTCAATGTGCCGTCGTAGTCGAACATGAACAGTCGTCGGCGAGCCTTGCGGTACTGCTTCATTAGTTTTGCTCGATCGAGAGCAGGGGTAGCGACCGATTGGTCAAAGGACGAGAGGTTGGTCAGTAGGCGATTGAGGTACTGCCTGGACCACATAGAGACTGTGTTGGTCACCACATGTTTGTAAAGCTTGAGGTGTTGCTCCTTTCGCTGCTCAGCTGGCATATTCAGTGCTTGATTGATCGCTCCGGCCACTCCAACCATATCCCACGGGTTGATGTGGATGGCACTGGGCAGGGTCCCCGCCGTACCGGAGAATTCAGAAAGAATCAAGGGGCTGTGGTTGGTCTGCTGACAGACAATATACTCCAGACTTGTTGTGTTCATGCCATCTCGCACCGTAGTGATCAATCCAACATCGGCTACACGCAACAGAGCGAAATACTCGCGCGGGGACAAGTATTGCGGATAGTACTGGACGGGCGAGAAACTCAAGGAGCCGAATCTCCCGTTGATGGTTGAAACCAAATTGGATATTTGGCCAGCAATCTTGTTGTCCGGGTCTTCCTTCTCCTCTTCCACGCTAGTTGGACTCGTCACCTGAATGAGGACAACTTTGTCACGCCATTCTGGATAGCGCTCCAGGAAAATCTCGAATGCCTGTAGCTTCTGCGCGACGCCGCGAACACTGTCCAGCCGATCGCGGCCGACGATGATTTTCTTTCCAGCATAGAGCTTGCGAATACCCAACACGGTCTTCTCAATATCCGGAGCCCCAAAAGCGGCCTTTTGAATTGAACGTGCGTCGATGCCGATGGGGAAGACATCTACTGCAACATGGGCCCCGTATGCATCAACCCCTGCAGAGTTGGACTCAAAGCCTAAAACACGCGTGCAACAAGAGGTAAAGTGTCGAGAGTAGGAAAATGTTTGGAATCCAATCATGTTGGCGCCCAGGACTCCCTCCAAGATCTCCTTGCGCTTCGCAAGACACCGGATAAACTCGCTGCTGGGAAAAGGCGAATGTAAGAAGAATCCCACGTAAATATTTGGGATACGTTGCCGCAGCAGACTGGGCAGAAGGAATAAATGATAATCATGAACCCAGACCACGTCTCCTTCTTGATATTCCTGCACGATACGATCCGCAAACAACTGATTCAGGCGCACGTAATCGGCCCACCACCGGCGTTCGGATCGGCCATCTGTCGGGCCATGCTGCTTGTAGTGGAGTAGAGGGTATAGCTCACGTTCGGAATAACGGCGCCATCTTCCTTGATCTTTCAGCAGAATAGTTTCTTCCGGTTCTTCTGATGCATCCGACAACCACACAGGCAATACCCGCCCATGACGACCTGAGCTCAATTGTTCATCGAGTCGTTCTCGGTCTTGTTGGGTGACACTAATTCCCTCCACCAATGGATGTGCGGGTGGCTTCTTGGTTCCATCCACAGGAACTGGCGCAGCAGCCTTGTTCAGTGGTTGGTTGGCAACAAGGTTAGTGGGGGCCGGAGGTGCGTTGACTGAAGAATTGGGATGTATTTGCTGCAAGGGTGATTTCATGTCCACATCGGGCTCAACTTCTCCGGTCCAGCCTACCAAGGTGTGTGACCAAGAAGTCTCATCTGATGCAAGATATGCAAATGAATCGAACAACGCTGAAGTACCGGAGCGCGACTTGAGCGTCTGTTATCCGGTCAGTCAATACGAT